GCACCGAGTCAGGAAACTTTCTGATCATTAACATGGGTTTGAAACTTCTGGGACATGGTTTCTGCCCTGAATAAGTCCTCTCCAGGCATGGAGGGACCAAGGATCTGAGACCTAGAAAGCTTGCTTCTTCTCAAAGGACTCTGAGCGTCACTATTAAAGAGCAAAAGCCATGAAAATGGAGGCAGCAGAAAAAACTCAATGAATCATAATTCATCGACGATAAAGGGAATGAGTTCCTTTATAATTTTAACAGAACACAACTTAGAAAGTAGGGCCATCCAGTAGGAGGTAAATCTATAACTCCATGTCCTGGGGTCTCAAAGAACACACACTAAGGAAGAACATGTTAATAAACAAACCCAGGTTTACATATGCAAAAAGTCAGAGGCAGGCTAAGGGCTTTCTGCAAAGGCACGCCCACTGTCTAGTGGGGAGGGGAACTCTTTTCCCAGTGATTAGGGCCACCTCCCCTCACCCATCCTGTCCCTTGAGAGACAGAGAAGGCTGTGCCCTGAAAACAAAAGTAAAACCTTCCCCCAGCACGTGCACAGAGCTCACAAGGCTGGTGCAGATTTTGAGTAAAACTGGCTGGTTTGAATGGGATGGAGCTGGGCTCTCCCTCCATTCACCTCTACCCCTCTCTCAGATTATGCATCTTTTTCAAAGTTTCGTTCCTTACCTTTGAAACAACTCAGGTAAGACCCCATTTGAATCCCAATGGGGGAGGGGGAAATTGAGAGCAAAGTAAACTATTTCCCCCGGACTTAGCATTTGCTTGCACCTCAGCCAAAAACCCAGCCCAGAGCATTTCAAACACGACACATGAATTATGTTCTTCAGGAGGGATGTTTTGCAATGCACCAGCGGTTAAAAATTAACTCTGACAGGTGTAGGAGGACAGAGGGAGAAAGAGCCACTTGTTGCCTCCTCCAGGCTTGGCGGTGCGATGTTAGACTCCAATTATGCTACATTAGCATTTCTGAATACGTCCGTGAAATCCAAAATATGGGCGGTATTCAGAGGTACCCTGTGTTCACTGGACCTGTTTCTGCTGTGGTTGCCCTGTCGAGATCAGTTTAGTTCTCCATGTCTGGGCAGTGGAAGAAATTCCAGAAAGCCTGCCACTCAGCTTTAAACATACTGAGGGCTTCTTGTAATAGAGGGAAGGCAAGCTGACAGCAGAGCTCTGAGAACCCACTCTCTGCATCACCTGGCCGCACCTGTGCCTCCTTCCATAAGAGCAAGAAATCTTCACCTCACAGGGCCGCCGGACACACAAAATGAGCTGGTGTCTAAAGTTTCTTGGAAAACCCAAGTTTATCAGTGCTATGAGTATATCTGGAGGAGTACTAGTCTGTGCTCAGATCTGTAACTGGAAGGGATCAAAATGAGAAATAGCTTTTGTCTTTGCCTTTTAGAAACGTAGCCAAACCGATAAAACTAACAGTTTCGGGGAAAAAAGAAAAAGAAAAAAAAAATAAAATAAAAAAAACACGGGACAGTTGAAGAATAGGGAACAGGGAATCAAGATTACACACACAGTGGCTGGGCCGTTTTAACCTGCACAGAAAGCACACACTGGGCCATAGATGAAGTGGATGGCACAGGGGACGCTGTGCACAGTCGTACATGTTGTGCACCGTGCAAAGGCACACTGGCAAGGTGACAGGGGGAGCGGCACTGACATCCAGGCCATTCCACCCACCAAGCCACGCGGTTTATGTCAGCTCATTTAATCCTAACAACCCTGGGAGAGAGACCCATTCTTCTCTCCACTGTGTATCTGATGAAGCCTTGTTCCCGAAGCTACCCACCTGGCCCTGCGGCCCTTTGTTCCATGAGGTCCATAGGCTCTTACTTCCCTCAGGTTTAGCTCATTACATTCTAGAAACTTGAGAAGGCTTTTTGGCTGGACACTGAACACAGCCCCATGGTTTGAGATGGTTCCAGCAGCTTAGGTGTATACAAAGGTTGCAGACAGGACAGGCTGGACCCAAAGGTAGCTCCTGGACAGATCTCCCTGTGGCATACACTGGTCAGGTAGCAGAGCAAGCCTCTCATCTCTGTATCTCCAGGGTCCCAGTGGTACCTTATGACCCTGTCACTTAAAACGAGGCCTTACGTCAGTGCCTGACGGGCCAGTTTGGAGAAACACATTCTTAAGGGACCGACCGCAGTGTACGAATGCCCTAGATGAGTGTACACAACCTAAAGTGCACAGCCTCAAACACTCTGGTTTGCTGTCCATTGCAAATCAAAATGCCATTTTCCTTTGCTCCAGTTAGAAATGGGCCTGGTTTTCGAGGCCCTTTTCAGGGTGTATTCTTCCATGAACTTATCTACTCAGTTACCCCCAAAAGTCGTCAACTGTACCTCCAAATCTCTGTCTTAGAAGTGCACTCCCAGCTTGAATTTAGAGGCTTCTTTAACAGACCTTATTTAAGAAGATATTTTGGCCTCAGGCATCAGCCTTATCTTTCTAACTACTACCTGGTAGAACCCAAGGAAGCCAGAGACCCATCTATCTGCCACACAACAAACACCTCCTTGTACTCCTCATTGACAGGTCCCTCAAAGACTCCCTTCTGTTCAAAGTGGCAGTTTAGATAAATGCCTGATTTATGAGCATTCACTGGAGATGAGGTTCCAAAGCCCTTGGGGACTCTTGCATGCTGGACTGGTGGGGAAGGCACTGGATTCCCACCGGGCTGAAGAGGTCATTTCTTTTTCTGGGATACCCCGCCAATCACTGCGCTGGAGCTATCCTGGAGCCCAAAGGTGTTCAGGATGAAGGCACCTTCCCCTACCCTCTTGTGGGTGGAGCATGAAATGAGAACCTGTGAGGCATCCATTTAATCCCAAGGGACCTAGACAATGCTCAGGGTGGCTGGAAATTACCACATGAAATGAAAAACGGTTCAGAGAGGGCTTAAGAATTACTTGGGTTTAATCTGTTTTCTTTCCTTCCTTCCTTCTTTCTTTTTTTTTTAAAGTCTGCACAAATACTGGGACAATCCAGGATGTTCAATCTTTGTCATCCTCAGCAGCAGAGCTGATGGAACTAATCCTCCTTTGAAATTAGTATGCCAGTTTCTACGTGGGGGACCTGTCATGCTCTTCTGTGTATCAGGCCACACGATGATACATGCTTACTTTTAGAAGTCAGTCTGATAAAAGACATTTAATCCATTTATATTAAACTCCAGTGGTGCAACACCCCTCCCCCCCAAAACAGACAAATAAGACCTTAGTAATCAATTCATTTGTAAAAGTCCCATCTGGATTTCAACGTCCCTGTCACCTGCCTGATGAGGTCAGGGAGTGGGTGTTACGGAGAAGGCCATGATGACCAACTCCTCTGTTCCCCTCACCCCCACCCCAAGCCCTACAGGGCAACCAAGCACAGCTGTGCTTTTTCTCCAGGGTGCATCTCAATGTCAGTCAGGAGGAAGTGAACAGTTGCCGCTCAGCGCTTTGGCTGGGGCCTGCCTATTCTTGGTGCCCTCTTCCTTCCTAGCCTGTGTGGTTAGTCTCCGCGTAGGCCGTCTAATGGCTCACAGCCACATCCAGGCCCCACTCTCATGCTTACCCACTGGGGCCAAAGGCAGTTGCTGAACATAACCCAGTGCTCCTGAATCCATCATCCGGTGCACTCTGTCTACAGCTCCAGGGATCCCCATTAAACGCTGTTTGCTGCAGTTTGGAACCTTTGGAAGATACCATGCTTGCCTCCTCTATGGTCATGCTCACGCTAGGGACAATATTTTGGGTCAGTCCCACAGAGGCCCTTCCAAAATCTTGCATCTTGAGCACTCATCCATATCCAGTCATTTCAGGGTGGAGTTTGAGCCCTAGCCCTTGCCTCTCGCAGTCTGCTGCATCCAGATGCAAAGAAGCATAGCTGGCCATGACAAAAAAGCCCAGTCTGCGCTCTGTCCCAGTGGCTACTCACCCAGCCGTGCTAATCTGCATGAGTTACGCATCACAGAGAGCAGAAGCAGGGTGCTTTGGTTTATAAGCCTGGGCACACATGAAGAAGGCAAGCACAACCTCTCCTGGCCCTGCAACTCTACTTCACCTACTAAGGCCTGACTAGGAATCTAAATGAGCGGCCCTGTGTGCTACTAGATCACAGGTTGTTTGGACTCTCTAAGCGACACGCTGCTTTTCTAGGTGTGTCGGCACGCTCTGCCTGTTCAGTGAACAGCTAGAAGACCGCCTGGTTTCCAAGAGGTATCTGGCTTGCCCCAACTGCAGTCAACACTGCTTTCATGCTGCCTGTGTTGTTGAAAGTGTTTGTTTTGACAGACATTTCTTGGCATAGTCCCTTCCAAAACACACACTCCAAAATACTTTAAATTATATAGTAATTATAAATCTCCCCCCCACACTGTATAAGTATTAGAAAAACCCAAAAAGAAAAAAAAAAGTCAACAGCTAAAACGAACTCTATAAATTTATTCAGCAGTCTAAAGCATAGAGGTGTCGGGTCCAGAGAGCTCGCCCTATGCTCATATAAGACAGAAAGGTGGAGGCAGGAAGGAGGCTTGAGGTCAGGGCCAGCCTCTGCTACAAAGTGAGTTCAAGGCCAGCCTGAACTATGTGGTGAGGCCTTGTATCGAGCTTGTAAACTTAAGAAAAAAAAGTAAGACTAAAACCAAGATAGCTTAAATTTTGCAAGATCTGATATGTACTGCATAGCCCACCACTGTTATTTTTCTGTGAACAGTAAATTAGCATATTATTAAACGTTACAGTTGTACCAGAAACCTGCATTCATTCAGAGGAGATAGAAACCACTGTTTCTATCTGTATGGGCTTCCTTTTGTAGCTAAGAGAGAACACAAGGGTTCTAGCATTAGCTTGATGGTACCTACACATAGCCTTACTCTGTTTCTTGCATTTATTATTTGTTTTCAAAACTTGTATAAGTAGGCCCAAAAAGCCTACTTATAGAGGCCCAAAAAGCCGAGTGACTGTCAAATATTGCAAAGCCTTACCTGGTGCTGGCTGTCGTTCATTCCATTCAGTTGAGATTAAAATCTCTATCACTTTTATGAGGTGTTCAGTATTATCAGAGCTGCAAAAAGAAAGGTGGTTCGTGAGAATCGTCCTTCCTAAAAACAATACTGACTCCAATCATCATCCTACGGAGGTGTATGGAGCAAGTCCCAAGAGATGTGCATCTGTGGCCAGGATCTTCAGACACCCTTAAATAGTCATTAGGGCCACCCCCCACCCCACAACATACCCCTAAACCTTCTTCTCATCTTTCACTTACCTGGATGCTGGGAATCTAAAAAGCACAGGGCTGAAAATCTCAGAGAGGACTCTTGTGTTCAAAAGATTTTTGCTGGAGGCTTGAGAGAGCTTGAAGAAATGCTTAAGCAGATACTGAAGCGTAAGCCAATATTGATGAGGTATATTAGGCGACCTAATGAGCTTCTTCAACAGCTGGATGTAGTCTTCAGGGCTTTGTACTTCTACAAGTTACAGAGAGAAATACAGGAAACAGAGTAAGGCTATGTGGAGGTGCCGATGAGCCAATGCTTGAACCATTTCAAATTTCTGCTATAGCTACCAAAGTAGGCCCAGACAGACACCTTCAAGAGAGGCACCTAGGACCTTTGTCCTTCTTATTAAGAAATGCATTGTGAGAAAGTAAAGGTCTCCAGTCAAATGAAATACAAGAAATTCTTCTTGTAAAAAAACCACAAAATGTTCAGGGTGTGCTCTCAGAAGCCTGGCCTCCATCGAGCAGCTCCAAGCCTGATTGGCTACTTGCTCAGAGCATCAGATAAGGAGCAGAGGTTAAACTTTGAAGGTCACGAACCACAATTTCCTGTCCCCAAAGCACTGAACAGAGCCTTGGCTCCTGATGCTGAGTGCTCCACCCTCGCTACATTTCATTCTGTGTGTGCAGGGCTGTGGACAAGAAGATTCCTCGCCGTGCATTCTAGTCCTAGGTCTCTGAATCTGAGGCTAGTGCTTGGAGAATCATGGCCTTCCCAACTGCAGCGATGTCTGCAGATCGTGATCAGACGTGAATTAGCCAGTTTAACACATGGGCAGACTTCTAAGCAAACACAAATCTAAGTCTCTTCTATCAAATACTCAGATGCTGTGTGGAAAAGGAGGGAATCTGGGGCGGTGATTGGTGAGGCACTGGAGGGCAGCTTGGAATTTTCTCAATGCCTGCTCCTTATACCCAGCACTTCACAGAACAACAGACCTATCCACATCTCAGTTACCTGGGCGGAGAGGTCTGGAGAGAGAAAACCCACCTTGGGCTAACGACATCATTTCGTTGTAAACAGCTACTGGAATGACAGGATTTGGTAAGTCCAAGAGATAGCGTTTGAAAGCATCTGCTAAAACCTGTACGTCAATCATTTCCAAGTCCACTGAGGCGGCATCTAGGAGAGAAGCAATTGAAGAAATATTTCGGGCATTCATACTTCTGGTGGGCCAATTTTCCAAATGTGGGACTTAAAAAAAGACACAGGGAAGGAAGCAACGTGAGGGAAACAGAAATTATTGCACAGTGACAACTGTTTCTCATAAGGCAGGCTCCTGAATTTTGGACAGAACAGCTTTCCTTCCCATAGCTTTTGTCCCACGTAATAAGCATTCAACACGCCCAGACTTTAGCTATTATGCTGGTATCACTTTCCTTCGGGCAACAAAAGACAATGCCGTTATTACTGATAAGTTAGCATCCTCCCTCGTGGCTGTGTTGACACTCAAAGTCCCAATGCTCCATCGCTATTTGGAGATGGATCCTAACACAGGTGATTAGGTTAAACAAGGTTTTAGAGTAGACCCTGCAGCCAATCTAACGAGCATCATTGTAAGAAAAGACAAAGTCCCAGAGACACCAGAAATCCGTGAACCAAGGAAAGGCCATGTGAACAGGTACTAAGAGGCAGTTGCTGGGGAGCCAAGAAAGAAGTCTCAAAGAAAGCAAACCTTCATTGTCTTGGATCTACACACACACACACACACACACACACACACACACACACAGAGAGAGAGAGAGAGAGAGAGAGAGAGAGAGAGAGAGAGCGAGAGAGAGAGCCAATGTTTCCTCAAACCACAATAGGGAGATGAAAAATGGAAAATCCCAGGTTTTCTCAAATCTGAACTGATAAACGCTACATAAAATTCAGTCTTAACAGAATGCTCAGCTAAATATCAAGATACTACAGCATTTGAGCAATCAGTTTCAAGATTACCTGTAGAATAATCCAAGCCATTCCAGAAAGCTTCTCCTGATGCTGCTATTACCTAACCTGAGAGCATCCAACTAGCACAGAGAAGAGGAGCGAGTTTCTCCGATAAATCCATCAGCTAGAAAGGAGGCCAAGTCATCCAGGACCGGGGTCGCAGTAACCCAAAGCGCTTTTCGGTAGCCCAGCTCTTGGGGTAGGGAAGGAACTGAGGTCCACTAGAAAGCAGGGGCACCAAGAGCAAGAGTGACTGAGGGCATCCATAAAAGAGGGGCATTTGGCAAGGGGAGACCATGAGGAGAGTTATCTGGGGAGCAGTGTGCTGAGAAGGTGGGCTGACACTACATTTTTCGGTAACTGTCTTCAGTTCTGGCACTGAGGGCTCTGCTGTGAAGGAGCTATGAGCAGCAAGAAAACATAGTTATGTAACTCAGTGTGTGGCTGAACTGGGCGGTGTCTCGGAGATGAGAAAATACCAGAGTCATGCTAAGAAGGTTCTACGTGAAGAGAGGACAGTATTTGGGCTATCCCTGAAAGATGGCGGTGTAAAGCAGGGCCCCTTCAACTGCCCCCTTTCAATTCAAGACAAAAAACAAAAACTTTTGCCTATTCATGATCTCTTTGTAGCCAAGTAATTTTTATATGACCTGAAATATAGAGGTCTATAAAATAGGCATGCAAAGCAAATACTTATTGAAATTATAAGGCAGTTTGTTTTAAAAGTATTCTTAAGTACACATATAATTTTGCCATTGATTAAAGGTGAGGGCTAACTTGCATACTAATAAGAGACTTCCTTGTTTATGCTTATACAGAATTAAATCTTAGCTGAGTATTTGAAGATACGGAGCGCCTTCACTGCTTTTCAGAGCTAATCAACATTTTTATTTAAAAATTGTAAACAGGGGAATGCTGCTTTGCATAAATACGTGATTCGAAATGGCAGAATTGTGTCAAGGGCCGTTCCAAAACTCCCTGGAAATTTTGTCCTAACCCCAAACCAAACTTTATTTAATTTTTTAAAATGAAACTCAAGTCAGAAACTCAAACAACAGTTTTCACAAACATTTTTAGGCAATCCAACCCCAAAATATACTAATGTGTATATGAGAATATATGTATGTGTGAGGTATGTGTGTGTGTAAACGTATCCAACTATCCTAAAGATACACATGCTGAGGATGATAAGAAAATTTATATCAAAGTCTCCCATAATTCAATCACAGTGTTCTATGGAGATCTTTGTGTGTATGGAGAACCACAGCAACTCATACCCTACACCAGTGTTGAATCTGAACTGAGGTGTCTGTGGCCTGACGGCACGGACAGCATGCACAGTGCAAGGTGCGAAGGTTTCGGGTTCCGAACTAAAGATACGGTGGAAGCGAAGGACGACATCTCCGACTATTACATGTTTGGTTTTCACTTAAAACTTTGATTCAGAAACCTTCTATTGTCAAATTCTTCACAAGCACCGCATGCAGTTACTCAACACTTTATGAGAAATGACCCATGCATGGAGAGGCTGCGGCAAATCTGGGCTGAGACGGAGGTAGAAGGTTTCTCTGGACACATCATGACATTAGGCAGAAGTTGTTCCACTCAATAGCCAGATAGATGTAAGTGATCATCACACCATATCTCATACTCTCAGAAAATCCGGCTAGTGTACAATACACACGGGCCAGGCCAAGAAAACCTGCAGAAGTTGAAGGATACGGAGATAAAACGCTGTGTTGCTTAAATATCCTAAAGGGCTAATCAGACACAGCCCATTCTCACCAGACACAGCACAGTCTAACAAATGTGCAAGGGCCACCCTGGGCTTTTGAGTAAAGGGTCTAGCCTGAAACTAGGTCATTAGTAGTGAAGTGATATAATGTCAATTAAGATTACATGGGCATCACTACAAAACCCCAAAGAATATTTGAAGCTTCTGGCTCTGCTAGCTGAAGCCCTTGTGGGCCTCACTTTCTCTCTCTTTGCCTTGAAAGTCTGTGCCACCGAATTTCTCATCCTGAAAAATATATGCTCCACCATTTGTCGATATATGCAGACTTCTAGGTGCTCGAGACACATGGCCCTTTCTTGGGCATAATCCCCTTGGTGCTCCTGCGGGGCCGATGAGCGATCCTTTCACCAGGAGACTTGGCAAGCGGTCTGGCAATTATGTATCTCACGTCATACTTAGGGGGCCTCCAGGACAGAATGTACCTCTCCCCTGCTCCTCCTGCCTTCCTAAACAACCAACACAAGAAGCATGGCAAGTATTTAAGGTCTGGAGCTGTTAGGCTAGTGCTCACTCCAGAGACCTTAAGAACCCAGGGAGTGTGGTCTACCCAGTCTTGACAGTGTTTGAATGAAATTACATACGCAGGTCTCGGGATAAACTCACCACGTGTCAAAGGCCACAAGAGTTGATGACAGAGTATGCTTGGTTTTATTTATTATTATTTGTGTGTATGTGTGATGGGACTTTCCATGAGCCCTGGGGTTCCTGACTTGTGCAATACAAGCTACCTCTTCTGTATGAACGCCACCCTGGCAGCTCCTAGACACCCACAGCTGTCTTGGTGAAAAGAGAGGGTGTTCAGTCATTTCACTTTTCACCACACTACCCAATGGGTCACCAGTTCCTTCGATACCACGTCAGCTCCCTGGGAGGCCCCACCCCCAGTCCCCAGCCAGCCAGCCACCAGCTGATCTCTATCTGGTGTGGTGGTTCCTAGGGCGTGGGGGTAGAACAGACTGCAAACTGGCTCTATCTGGAGACATTCTAGACGGTCGTGACTCAGGGGTGGATGCCACTGGCACCTAGTGGGTAGAGGCTGGGGATGGGGCTGAATAACCTGCAGTGAACCTGGCAGCCCTCCACTCCTCTTCAGCGCGGCATATCCAGAGGGCCAGGTCGAGACAGCCCCGGTGCACGTTAAGAGAAACGAAAATGCGTCAGGAGGACGGGTTGACCGTTAAAATTCAAGGAAGATTCAAAGAAGCGGGGAGGGCAATTTGTTTTAGGGTAAAATGAGGGAGGGGCGAGAAGGGCAAGGACAACCAAAATAATCTGGATATAAACCATAGCTTTGCCGCTCGCTCTCCCACCAAATCATGTTGAATGAATTTGCTTAAGTTGTGCTTTCTTTACTGGAGACTCAGCGTCACTAACACTTCAGAATTAGGCTGCCACGAGCGGCTGCAAAAGGAGCATTAAGAGAGGTGTGCCGTTTGCCTCACCCTGTCTGGCATTGCAAATTTACAAAGTTGTTCAAAAGCCAGTAATTTTTGTCAAAGGAAACGCAGGTTTCCCCTGGGACATTATAATAGCTCCAGGTATTGCAAAGTCTACAACCTGGGGACACTTTTGGCAGAGGCACTCCCGAGTTTGGATAGTGTTTGCTCTTTTGTGGCTATGAAAACGTGTCAAGTTTTCTACATGTGAATTTTGGTGGCAAGGAGGAAGGATAGCTGCCCATCAAAATATATTATTGATGTGGGAGAATCTTGGTGGTTTGCGCCATCTCCTGAGTGGTGTGAAAAAAATAATAATAATAAAAATAAAACTTTTTCCAATGTGGATCGTTTTGTACTGGTCACATTAAAAACCTCAACCACAACTTTCCACAATTTCATCGGTTTCTGGTGTCTTCACATTTCCTGTGACTTTTAGCAAGCATCCAATTGTATCTTTTATTTTGTTCTTGTAACCAATACATATAACTCAACTTCAACTGGCAAAGAACAAAATTCAGTATTTCCTTATCGCCCTGGTAAGGTTGGTAGAAATACAGATAACAGACGAGGGTCTCACTCTGGATTTTTCTACCAACCAGCGTCTAACGAGCAGATTGGCAGAAGCCCAGGGCACACACAGAAGCCCAGAGGTACGCTGCTCTGTGTGTGCTAGGCTGAGCTCAAGAGACACAGGAACTGGAGTTGAGACATTTGCTTGGGTTTGCTTCAAGTGAAATCACTCGCTGATAAACATCTCGTCGCACACTTTCCTTTAAGAAATGTCTTTTGTAGAAATTCCCTAAAATTGCCTAAGCCTCAAGCTACTTCCCACTTCAAACGGTTACTTTGTAAGGGTCAGGTGGGCATTCCCATGCCAGCATCCTTCCGAAGGGGCCTTGTCCAGAACAAGAACATAGGCAACTCTTTCATTTAAATATCCAAATTCAGGTAAAGAATATGAGGTAGAAAACCACAAAAACAAGAAGAAAGAAAGAATACTATAAATGAATGAAGGATTTAAGACATTCTAGAAGTTGGCAAGAGAAGATAGCTTCCTGGGATGAGGGCAGTACTTTTCCCTGTATGGAAAAGGAAAGAGGAAGTCACAGAAAGCCACCCTTTGGCAGAGTAAGTTAGTGTCTCCTAAGTAATGGTGTGCTGGAGCTGGCTCAGGAGATCAAATGTCCTCAGTTTTTCCCAACTCCACATTCAATGACATCATGTTAGCATGAAGTCAACCACAGTGGGGCTATTTACATCACAGGAAAGGGCTAACACTCTGACCTAGGAATTTTCCTCTGCAGAGAGTACGGTCACCATTACACTACCAGATAAACACCCAATGCCACGATGTTACTCTACGGACATATGGCATGAGACAGTAAACAGGTGAGCAAGGAAGAAAGCCAGCAAGCCAGGTGGGAGGGAAAGAGCCCAAGAAGGGGTAAGAGGTCACCAGGAGACATCTGTCAAATGACGCAGGCTTAGGATCTTTTCGGCTGACCCATATGAGTGAGATCTTACCAAAGCAAGGCCGAGGAACACGGCCGAGGTAGAGTCTGATAAATGCCAAGAAATTGTTTCTGAAAACCCTGCAGAACCCAGGGACTCATGTGTAGGGAAAAGGTTGAGAGCTTACAGTTTATACTCACACCTCCACTCAGGAGCCACAGAGCCAAGGAGGACACTGTGCATGCTTTGAGGACCCCTTTGAGACTTACGGTGTTGTGGGGGTGGGGGTGGGGGCGGGCCATCTGAAACAGAAAGGTGAGCTTATATCCACGTTTATAGTCCCGTGTATTGACTTACCACAATCAAGAAGCTGTCGTAATTCTGCAGGGCTGCTGGAGCTCTGTGTTCTGTAGAGAGTCGGACATTCCAGTCCTAGAACACAAAACAGATCGTGTATGCACAACACAGTTCTCTGGAGACTCGGTGAGCCTGCTGCAAGAGGGACATTCCCATTTCCATCCAGCATCTATTCTAGATGCGTGCTGAAAATTCTTGGAAGCCAACCCCAACAATTAGTTGTATCTAGTTTGTCAATAATTTTTGGCCTCTCCAGTGGACCATTAAAAAAAAAGGTCAATCATATTTATTAAATTATGAAGAATTGAATAGCTCCCACATAGTAACTACATATTGGTCTAGAATAGTGGTTCTCAACCTGTGGGTTGTGAGCCCTTTGGGGGTTGAATGAACCTTTCACAGGGTTGCCTAAGACCATCAGAAAACATACATATTTACATTATAATTCATAAAAACAACAAGATACAGTTATGAAGTAGCAATGGAAATAATCTTTTGGCTGGGGGGTCACCACAACATGAGGAACTGTATTCAAGGGTTGCAGCATTAGGAAGGTTGAAAACCACTTCTCTAGAGTTAGAAATTATCAGCCACGATTCTTCCCTGTTACAGAGATCCACACAGCTAGTGTGGTTAGTACAGCCTCTGTTCACAGCGACCAGTAAGACATTCACATAATGAGCGGCCCAGGGATACATATGAAGTGTGGCAGTCACAAAATAAAGGTCTAAAGCACTGACTCCTCCTAACAGTCTCGTTACCTTTCTTTTCAATGGCTTCGAGGAGCCTGACAAGGAGAGGAGGGGCGACATCAGGAGGGGCAAACTGCTCAGCCAGATCGGGCAAGGTGAAAGCTGAAAAAAACAAATTCCCAACATTAGATTTCATGTGTCAGTCAAGCGCATTCAACCACAATACAGAATATTTAAATATAAATAATTCAATTACTCCCATCCATAGTAAACGCAGAATGGAGCTAAGGGGAGTCCTCTACCACATTACACACTGTTGGGGCCTCAGGGACATACCTGGGTTTTGTTTTTCCCCCCTTCAGAATGTTCTCCAAGCGCCCACCAAGAATCCTAGAATGCCCTGACAACAGACCTTTGACGGTCTCTCCTCTGGGGCATCTTTCCTAGGACAGACTGCCCTGTCTTAGGGTACCTGGATTACATAGAATCGAGAGATGCTACAGCATACAGCTCTCTTCACCCCCATGTCCTGGGCACATTGATATTTAAGAGCGCAATCTGGGGAGCTCAGAAAATCTGAAATCAGTCTGGCTTCTAGGTTATTATGAAAGAACTGCATCTCAGGTAGGAGAGACTAGATAAAAATCTCATGAGATAATGTGTTATCATGATATATAACTGAATAGCAGATCATAGCAACTGGACATTCTTTTGTACCCTTGCACTGAGTTCTAGCAATGCAAGGCAACACAAATGACCAGTAGTCACCTAACAACAAACTAAACCCCTGTGAAATTGTTATCAAAACTTTTGCTTTCGTGTGTGTAAGCACACACACGTGCATGTGTATGAAATAAGATACTTTAAAAAGCTTTGTAGGCTTATTTCATATTATGTATGAGTGTTTTGCTGGTATATATGTATATGATGTATATTTACCACTTGTGTGCCTGGCACTTGTAGAGGAAAGAAAATTATACCAGATTCCCTGGAACTGGAATTATAGTTGTTCGTGAGTTCAGTGAATTCAGGAACTTAACCTGAATCCTCTATAAGAGAAACAAGTACTCTTAACCACTGATCTCTCTAGTCCCAAGAAATACGATACTTTGATAAACTGTATCTTCATATGTTATGTGCATGTTCTGCCAAATGTAATGATACAAAAATATCTAATACCATGACAATCACAAATTACTTCCTCTGACAATATATTGATAACCATATTTCTCACTCAAAAATAAAAAAAAAATGAAGTAAAAGTATTTTTCAAAACTGTGCCAGAAGAGGGAGCTAAATATTTCACCTCAAATTTCTCAAACTTCAAAATACAGGGTTATGAATCTTAATGAAAACATCTTCAGGAGTAACTTGACTTTCAATAATCCAGTAATTTCAGAGGTTTATGATTCATAACTTGCATCTTATCTAGGACAGTTCACATACTTCACTAAATGGTTATAATTAGGTTTCAGTGAGGTTTTAGTGGTATAATTATTAAAAGATATATAATATTAAAAAATTCTAATTAAACCCATTGTAAGTAACAAGAATCAACATAGAATAGTAACAGATTTATAATATAAAAGCAGTGTTATTAAATGCTGACCTCAAAGACTAAGTATGACTTAGGAAGTCATTTTGCAAACTCTAAGACCCCTGCAGATTTCAACATGCCTGGTATAGATGGACCCGTGGGACCTTGTCATTTAACTATACTGACCACAACAGCCACCAGAATGACAGAAGAGCTAAATTTTGGAGGAAATTTCTATCACGGCACTATACAATGACACTTTCTGTGATGAGAGAAACATTTGTGCAGGTTTGCTCTACAATAAAACGTAGCCATCGCAAAATGCAGCAACTGATTTTTTTTTTAAGTTTACTTAACAAATGTGGCCTGAAGTAGCCAAATGCAGTTGTGACCACAGTATTTAAGACTGCAGTCTGAGAACTCGGGTGACGGCAAATTCTGTTAATGAAAAGTTCCTGAGTCAGTACACAGGAACCCGCGGACCTCAGAATGAAGAAGACTTCTTTGTTCAAAATAAGGCATCCATGGTTGTGCTAAGCAACCTACAAAGCTCTCCATCTGGCTTCCTGGGAGGCTCTGCCTTAGGACATCATTCCCCTAGCTTTTTGGCATGATAAAGGTAGAGTAGATATGGCCTTCACTCTCTAGACAGTTACTGTGTACAAGGCTGTGGGTGGAGGACTTCATTCCTGGAACCAAGGTGTCTTAAGAATAGGGGTAGTAATCTGCTTTGAGTTAGTAGTAAGTTTGACTTTGTAGGTGATTTCTCTGAGAAACCGAGCAACGAGATCAGTCAGTTTTAAATGTTCAGATGTGAAGTGTTTTTGAAAAGCACTTACAATATAAATGTATTTATTAAAAGTTTATAATCACTTTAACTAAAAGCACTGTAAAATTTAAGAAAATTAAGCTGGTGTGGGAGTGCAGGTCTCTAATCCAGCACGTGAGAGGCTACAGCAGAAAGATCACAAGTTAAAAGATAGCCCAGGCTACCCAGCAAGACTCTGGCTAGAAGAGAAATGCAAACACACACCACACACACACACACACACACACACACACACACACACCAGCACCACCAGCAGCAGCAAAGGGCACACCATGTCATTTCCTTTGATAAACTATAAACCACTTCCCTTGGCTCTCACATTTGAGCTCACAACAGTATCCTCTCCCACAAAGACCTTCTCTCTTCTACACTGAACAAAACGAAGGTCATCCTGTCCCTGTATGTATGCACTGAAGGGAAACTGGCAGTAGAGAAATGATATTAAGAAATGCTATCAATCAGGAAATCAGGATTCAACAGTGTTTTCCTGCTAAGGAACCTCAGCACAGCCCCAAACCCAAAAGCCCACAGCTAAGTAGTAAATACGAATACCCACCCTGCACTCATGCAACTAACTTCATCAAATCCACTCCCATATATAACATAAGCATTTTTATGGAGAAAAAAAAAAACAACAAAAGCCTGCACTGAGATCGGAATTGCTTAATAAAGTTTATCTCTTTCCAAAATCTTATCAACACGATCACTTAGGCAGGCAAATATGAAAACCAAATTAAATGATAATTAAAAATTTCATGTGATTGTGATTGAAATATGCACCCAACAGTTGGTTCTGCAAGTGCTGCAGAGAGGCACTTCCATCCCGTTCTCTACTCCCACTGAGAAAAAAGAGAAAAAGAAAAGGAAAAAGCACAACTCTCTTGTTTTCCTTTGTCTTTCCAGCACTTCCTTGGCAAAGACGTTTTTTGTTCGTCTTTGGTTATCCTGAGCTACAAAGTATCTTGTTTCTCTCATACCCACTTTTCTGAAAACCACCGTGGGGGTCCCCACATATCTAGGAGAACACCGGCCTTTTCAAATCACTGTACACATGTGTAGGAAGCATGAGTTCTCTGGCTTGTACTGTGTGAACGTCCAGCTGAATTTTTTTAAGACGAAGCTTTATCGGCCAAAGGGGTGAAGCACAACAGCTGATCGCGCTTTGGCAAGAGGAACTTTAAAAGGCAACATTTACAAGGTGAGACAATGAACACGACAACAATTCCAGGATTTCCTATTCCTGAGTATAGGTCTCTCACTCAATGTGCTTCCTCTCGGAACTATGTAGACCCAGGTAACAGAGCAAGTTCCTGTCACCTGCTGTAGACAGTGGGATTATCACTAGAATTTCAAACTGTATTCCAAAACAAGTGTTACTTTCCTCGAGAATCCTAAACCCAACTATTCCCTAGTTCCATTAAATACACTATGTCTATATATCTGTCATTAGATTTCATCATAAGAGATTACAGCAGGAAGCAGCAATTACTGGGAATGACTAAGCTTGGTAAGTTGTTGATTAGTCCACAATAAGAGGATCAAATCATAGTCTGAAAAAAAAAATAATAGCACCAAATATTTGTTCTCAAAAAACTACAGAGCATACATACAGGATGGGACTATCAAGCAAAACACAAATTAGCAGCACACACTTCTAAATTTACACAGAAATTCCATTTGGTGTAAAATCTCTGGGTATCTTTGACCTGAAAAGGAATGCACTTAGATTTGGAAGCTCGCCGGAGTGCATTGTCTGAAGCAACTGGAAGCATTCGTGGATTTCCTGACACATCCAAGCTCAGTGTCTCACTCAGCCAAACCATTTTTCATTGGAAGAAGTCAACATTGTGCAAGGAAAAAGAAACCAAGCAAAAACAGTGGAAAGGTCTGAGAAGGGAGAACCTAACCACATATAATTTCTAAGGAAACGCAGGCTCATCTGGCCAGCCTTCCTTCCCACGCACAAGAACTCCGCTGAACCAGAGAGCTCCAGGTCACAGAAGAAACCACTCATGCCACAACGGAGGCTGCATTTTCTGTTTGCTCTTTCGGCAGGCCCTGGTGACAACCAATCACACATAACAGAAGAGACTCTCTCTCCCAACTGAAGCCCTTCCCAAACTAAGTCGGGCAAGCCTCAACACTCCTGGGCACCAGCGGTGCGTGGGAGATAGGAGCGTTCTGTGCTCTGTGTGGTGCCAACACCGCTACTAAGTGCAAGCTGAAACCAACACACAGCTGCACCTTTTGGAGGCGTTCTCCATTAAAAAAAAATGAAAAAGAAAGAAAAGAGAAATACATTTTAAAGCTAGTGCCTGGCAGGACTGAGTGGAAAGTTTAAGCAGAAACATCAAAACGGCAGAGGCCGCCCAAGCCAAGTATTTCATTCCTAATGGAAGCAGCTTGGAAGTGTGTTAAAAAAAAAAAACAAACTGCTCATTACCCCTCAAAATGTAACTCAAAATACACAGGAAAGAAAGGATATATGCAAATGGGGACCGATATTAAATCAAGATGTTAAACTGTCTACTGATTGGCTGAATCCAAGCTTTATTTCTGTCTGAGACAATCTTCTCTTGTGACTTCAAAAGAAAAAAAAAATAGTGGACACGAATCAAAGCAACCCCAATTCTGTTCTTAAACTCTATAAGCACGCTCACACTGTCTTCCTAGAACCGCTAATACCCTGGACTTCAGACTTGGTAAGCTCTGCAGGCTGCAAACCACATCAAAAGCTGCTGTGCTCTTTGGGCAAGATGGCGCTAAAAAACAAAAACAAAATAAAAGAGAAGAAAC